ATATGTGAGTGTGTGTGTGTGTGCGTGTGTATGTACATACATACATACATTTTTTAGCACTCGCACTCACATACATACATACATACATACATACGTACATACATACATACATATATGTACGTGTGTGTGCGTTTCATGTGTATGTGTCTAATTTTTTGCATATTATACATCTCATTCAAACCTGTGGCTGAGAGTCTGCGTAGGCTCGCGATACTGCAGGCTGTGCCCTGAAGATACTGGCAACCTTCTCATACCTGAGACATAGGACGACAATCACTGCCGTGCCAACAAAGCTAGTGTGCCCATCCGTGAGCTGCAAACTTCCAAGGTCAGGCCCTAGGTTGGCTTGCCACGTTGCTCTTCGGATTCGCTGTGAACCTCGAAAAGTATCTGATCATCCATGCCTGCCACAGCCAAGGCAGGTAACACTACAGGAACTCAAGCAAGACATCACCACGACAAAAGCACAACGAGAAGGCGACACAAGCACAAACACAAAGTGCGGCCAGACGCCACACACGCCCAATCAAAAGCATCTTTCAGCCTTTCTGGTCCTCCGACTGCCAGAGAGTCCGTAGGCCAGGTACGTAGCCAAGCCACTCCTCGACAGCACCGCGGACTCTCAACAGGGAAGACGAGATTCGTCTTCCACTTCAAGTTCTCAATCTGTCCTCTGCATCCAGTCGCTCCTACAGTCGCCATTAAGTGAAGGCATGCAGGCAACTGCCTCACACGGACGGACACACACCGCAACAAAATCTCCTGTGCCAGCATGGACCGCCAGGATCTCATGATAGTCAGCTCGGGGCACTCTGGAGCCATGGCAGCATCACAAAGACGGGGCAGGGTGTCCCAGAGTTTCAACGACCTCAGAGGCGAGTGATTGCGAGTCCACCCAGAAGGGGTCAACCTACATGCAGTTGTTACTCCAAGACACTCCATGTTGTGCTTGTCGCCTAGGCGAGTATGCCCTCGTCCAAGAACTCCACTATTTGCAGTGTAGTACAAGAAGCAGCTGTTGCTAGATCCTGGCAGGTTGATTAGACGCGCGCGAACTTAATCATGCACACAAGCGGGAAAGAGGTCAGCCTGAGCGCATGAGTGCTTCAAGGTCTTCTCTTCTGTACTGATAATATTCATCATTGGAGCCGTGCGCCAATACCACGCGGCTGCCTCAGCAATGCATCAAAGCAGCTACTGAGACGTCTGATGAGCACACGTAGTTGGCTTAGATTGAAGACCAGCTGCCTTTGGGTAGACTGGTCAATGTAGGATGCCTGCCAAAAAAGATTAGCTTATCAACATAGCACACAACGAGGGGTGTCTCCAACATCAAAGCCCGGCCTGTTGATGATTAAGGTCGGTCCGGTCCAAAGACCTGCCTGCCAGACTGCAGTGACGTAGGCGCCACCTTTGGAGGCGCAAACGAGCAAGTGCGGAGCGAACTCGTCAATGGCTTGCTTGAGCACCTGGTTGCAAATCAGCACATGAAACACGTTGCACAAGCTTGAGGTATCAGGGTTTAGGGGAGGCCGGCTTGCAATGTCTCACGGATTTCAGATACGATGCTAAACACGGCAGGTAGCTGGCAAGTAATGCAGGATCGGGAAGGAAGGCGACTCCGGATTCGGCAAGTCGAAGACCCAACGTACCTTGTGGCCCGACGCAGAGTTCCAGACTGGGCCGACATCATGAATCCATTGGGGCATTTAAGCGCATCCATGGCTCCTGGAAGCCCGCTGATTCCAGCAGTTGGCCTTGAAGCATTCTGGAAACTCTGGCAAACTACCCGCCATTTCATTACCCGTTTTCGCTGCTATGTCCCGGCCATGCCCGGCCTTGCTGCGGATTCAGCTCACGACCGAAACCAGGGCCAACGACAAGGACACGCTGCTTGCTCCGTTCATAGTCAGGTGGAGCCTCGAGAGTAGGCTTATGATCCTGAGTCGCTGCAGGATCTCCGTTAAGCACCCGCTGCCTAGGATGATATGTGGCCAGGAGACCTTTGTTCTCGGGCTGACCGGCGGGGAGCTGTGTCGGCTGGAGACCGGCGTGCCATCGAATTCAGCACTTGGGCCCATGGTATCCGGAACCTTGAGGGTTGCGATCACGGTGGCCTGTGGAGTGGGCAAAGGCCCAGCCTTGCCAGAGCCCTGTGAGCCTGTGCTTGTGGCTGGAGTCACCGGAGCTTGGTCCTCATCCAAATCGGCCACATCGCCACTTGACTGCGAGGGCTTTGGACCACTGGCATTCACAGGACTTGGTGGAGCATCTGGTGCGACATCTGGCTGTCTTCCGCTTGCCGCCGTCGATGTTGACAGCGACTTGTGCACCAAATCTTCGTCATCCGGCTGCGATGCATCAGTGGAGGCAGTATCCACGATCTGCTTGGGATTTGAACCATCCGAATCACAGGAGGCAGCTGGTTGCACACCATCCGAACGTCGCACAACCAAGCTGATCAAATCCGGGGTAAGCCACCTGACATTGACATGACTTTGCCCCGTGCCCCGGATTTGCACTGCACGGCAGCTAATTCCGAAGCCTCAGCGCTCCGTTGAGAGAGATCAGGATCGATCCAGCTGGAAGACTCGAACCACCCAGCGACAGCGGCTCATGGAGCACTTGGCTCACAACAGCGCCGAAATCCCAAGCACTGGCATCGTAGTTCCAAACATCCACAACATCCCCCTCAGCAAAGGCCACCTTGCACATGGCTTGAACGAGCTCACAGCACAAGATATCCCAAGCATGAATGCACCGACACACCTTCCCATCCGACTCTTCTTTCGAGTCTTCCTGGTCTTCCTGCTTCGTGGCTAGGCCATTTTTGTCCAGCCCAAAGAAGGAGGACATGGCGCCGAGCCTCGGCAGCTGGGTCGCAGAACCGCAGCCTTCATATGACTTCATGCCGAGCTGCATGGAGGACAGCGAAGTGTAGCCGCCGACGCCGAGCTTGCTTGCATCCTGCAAGCAAAACCACCCGGTGCTGAAGACACCACACAGAATTTCTGCAAGCGCCTGGGGCCATCCATCTGCAGATGGTCGGTCTTCTTCCGACTCATCCCTTTCCTTCTCTTCGATCCCAGGGCTAAAGATTCCAGCGACCCCACTAAGAGCTCACACTCGAGACGGTACTTGCACGACTCCTGCTCGTACAGGTAGTAAACATAGCTACACACCGTCTTTCAGAAAGACAACGGGAGCACAACAAAATGCGCACGAGGGGCAGCTTCAGCTCGTCGCAGCATGACTCCTGGCGCTTTGTGCCCATACTGGAGGGGGGAGGGGGTTCCGGAACTCTCAACCTACAATACAAGCGCTTGCAGCCGTCCTACGTGCTCTTCACTGATCCATAGCGTCGACGTCTCGTCTGAGAACGTCACAGCCACGGAACCAGGTGGCAGAACCTAGCCAGCAGCTGGCTGTTAGAAATGCATGGGCGATGACACAACTTCTGCTGTGGCACTTCTTCGCAGCACAAAACTGAGCCCTTCCGCACTGAATCAAGTCACAGTATTGCCATACGCCAGCGGAGAGCTTAGAATTTGGCTAACACGACCTGGGCTAAGTTGCAAGTTGCCCACTAAACGAGCCACTTACGATAACGCATTCGCTAAACATAGAAAGCGCAAACTCTGTCCTGCATTCCGCGACCTTTCTGATCTACCATTTTCGTCGAAAGATTCCACGTGTACCTTGGTTTCTCATTGAGCTAACACCATCTGCGCCTAAGGCTTGACAGCATTAAACGGTCATCTTGTTGCACTCCAGGAACACAGCATCTCCCACTCTGAATGGCGTCGGCATTGGAAGAGAGCGGTTGCAAGGAATATATACGCTGCCAATCAGCTGAAACAGCTTTCGGGTTGGCTCGCAGACTTGCTTGCTCGAACAGAAAGAAGAACAGACAACTCTGGGATGTTCCTCGCGAAGGCTAAGTGTTGGACCGTGCACATGCGCGAAACTGCACCCGTGGACCTCAATTGAAGAAAAAAATCACATTTGCCACTTCATGTCTCAACTCTCTCGGCCGAGCCAACGGCAAACAGATGCTCAGCCTGGCATTGGAAGAATACGCCAGCTCTGTGCGTCGAAGCTGAAACCGAGCAACGGACACTGTGAATGCCGGCCGAAGAAGAAATATTACGCTGACTTATTGCACAACGGCCTGCCTTGAGATACGACCCTGAGGCTACCTGCGGACCACTGTCAGTCAGCGTGGACGAATAGACTACAAACAAATCGGATCAATGAGGCCATGACTTTCACGCAGAGCAGCTCAATCAAAGGTGCCAAGATGTCTCCAGTGGCTCCAACACGCTGACAGGAAGACAGCCTCTGGCAGATCAGACTTAACGCACCACGGTAAGGCATCGATCATGCAATGCAAGATGCCTAAAGCTTTCGGCAATCTCCGGAAAGCCTCCCCGAAAAAGTGCAGTGCGAAGACTTCTGAAAAGAAGACTTAGCGACTGTGGTTGCGGTGCGTTTTTGTGCCCGACCTCCATGCCACCCAGACACCAGGTTCACCTGACAAGTGACGAAGTCGCTTTGGCATGTCTACAAGACGGACACCCAAGTCATCATTAGAGTGCCGGGCCAGGTCCGTGACGGCGACAACCGCAGCCAGAGTCACGAAGAGAGTGAGATCCCACGGACGCAAAGAGCACCGAGCCCGATTGCCAACCTCCAGCACCACGGTCTAACCTAGCAAAGACCTGGGAAGACTCCAGGATCCGAGGCCGAGGGGGCGACCAGACACACCAAAAGGCCGGGAATGAATAGCAGCTGCCTCGAAACATCATCGAATCCGCCAGTCCATGCCAGGGCCGACACCAAGGGCCGAGGCCCAACCACCGATCGCAAGACTTCCACTGCAAACAACCCGAGAAGCAGCGCTCCCAGCCTGAGAGCCGATGAGACGCCTTTTTTGGGAAGGCCGAGATCCACCGAGTCGGGCACTGCAATCGTCGGCACTCCAATTCCTCGCTCGGCGTCCTCGAACGCCACACCACCAAACCGCCAAACATGAAACTCTGCAGCACTGAGGAACATCAGCTGCTGGCGTGCGGTACTTCTCAAAGCAGGCACTCAACCTCAGACATCTCATCAGATTTCCTTTGCCTTCACGAGTGTAATCATCAAGCACTTGAAGCTGGGACAAGCTGGACGAGATGTCCCACGTACCATCAACTGCGTGTGGCGGTTACAGTTTGCATCGTCTACGATTGGACCATCAGCTGTGACAGCAGGATCTGTGAAGTGGGGTCGACAGCGTTTCATGCATGTGGCCTTCCTCTGGCAAATCACCCTGGCCGTGCCTTGTGTGCATCAACCCGGTGGATCGACACGGCATCTCTGTCAGTATGGTTCTCCATGTGACCCTGCTGACTATGACGTTCAAGGGGCTGCGGCTCCATCACTGGGCACTGCCTCCATCCCCACCTGGTCAGCTCCGGACCAGGTAGAAAGCCAGTGGAACGATTGAGTCAGGCATAACATGTTGCGGGATTTCAACATCGACGGATGTCGGCTGCGTGCCCGATTCGCGGAGACCACATTTCTCGGCCTGGCAGTGAACAAACGGGCTCGAAAATGTCTCAACTCGCAGTGCTTCAATCTAACACAAAGCACGCCAGCTTCACGCAGACACAACGAGGTGCTTGCACGGACACTTCCAGATCCAGTAGTGACAAGCAAGAACAGCACAAACTCTTGAGCCTGCGGTGTCAAGCGGGCCTGCAAGATTCACCCCGATAATATCGAAACGGTAACCTGTGTTTGAGGAGTTAGCTTTCGCCGGAGATCACGAGGTTCCAATGGAAGGCATAGGTCACGAGCAGGCACTACGTTACATGGCACATGCCTGTCAAGCTGTCCATCGCTCTTTTTGCCCGGATTACCTCGCACAGGTCCAAAACACTCAAGCGCAAATGCAGCGCCAGTCTCTGTGCCGAACTCAGAGGCACATCCAAGTCGTGGCCGCCAAGCTGTCCAACTCAGCTCCGTGGCTCCGTAGAGGCCCGAAGGGCCCGCCTTGTGACCAGAACGGGCAGAGATGCTGGCCGTGGCGACCCGGGCTCCTGCGCGTGCGTCTCTTTCCACCCACTGGCCATTCTGTGGAATGTCGATCCGCGTCGGCCCATCGGCTAGCTTCGCAAGTGAATTAAGCGGGCTTGCGCAGAACGATCACGATAAATTCACGATTGTACGCTCTGGCGGATGCCTGCGGATAGTAGCCCTCACTGTGTACCAGCTCTGTTGACACGACCTCGAAGCCAGCCCGCTCTGCAAGGGTGACATAGTCTCCTGACACAACAGCTTAGATGAGGTAAAAGCTGGCGCTGGGCACAGACAGGGCACTCCTGTGTCGCACAAATGGACTGTGTGGCGAGCTGCGAAGCTGGGCGAGCACTCGCGGATGCATCTCCCCATGGGCTCGTCCCGGGGCGAGTACGCCTGAAACAGAAAATACCTCAGCCAGGCATTGCATACTCCTGCATAAGAGATGAGCAACTCAAGTTGGCATCCAGTAGCCCACCAGGGGCCAGCCAAGTGTAGACATGCTTGAAGAAGCGTCCCTTCACTGCCTCCTGCCATGGAGCACGCTGCGCCCCCATGGTCGTTGTCTGGTCTTCTTAGATTTGGAATAGCTGGAAATGATATGGACTTGGACGACGGCTTCAGCAGGTGCCGGGTGAACGGTCCAGCTTGCACTGGTCAGTGAGACTCGCCGTTCTGAACTACCCCTAAAAAACAGTGTTCTGTAAACCTGGAAGCTGGCCTATGCTTGCTTGTCGGCTTCTCTGCGGACCTGTACGAGATTGGACTGGAACTTGAACAATGCAAAAATGCGGTCCTCGTAGTCTTCAATGGAGTTGTTGTGTACAGCCACATCCGGCGCTGCTGACCCAACTTCAGGGACCCAATCCAAGTAGCTTGCCTTTGAGACCTAGACGAGATCAGCCTACAAGCTTTGAGATTCGACTCGAAGGACGGGGATTCAGCGAATTGGCCTTCATATGCTTGCCAGCCAAGCAAAGGTGTGCTTCGGAGATATCGACTCCGACAATGTTCAGGGGTCCCAGCAGCTTGGCGAACAAACCCGTGCCACAACCTTGGCAGCAAGTTGAAGAACACTGGCTGCTGTCCCGCGTTGGGCGCACAAAGCTTTGCCGCAACGACGGACGACTTCCAGACTCAGCACGGAGCCCAAATCGACCAGAAGAAGGTCCGGCTTCAAGGCTGCAAGCTTCAGAGCAATTTCTGTTACCCACCTCATCGGGACGACACATCTAACACATGGAATCATTCCAACCTCAAGCCCCAGCCTGAGCGCCGCCATCCGCCCTCCGGCGATGCTTCTTTCTTCGAAGGACTTGCCGTCATGTTTATCCCAGTAGCTGTGCAGCTCGGAGTCCACTGGTATCCCCGCGGAGGGCGATGCAGGATTGCACTGCGAGTAAGACCTCCTTCATGCAGGAAACATGCGAAGCTCATGCTACAAAAACAATTTCGACGAGCCTGCACTTCGTGCACGCAGCGAAGGTTGCGGCGCTCCATGGCAACACCGCTGTCCGGAACAACTTCCGTCCGAACATCTCCGACAAGACATTTGTTTCCATTGGCCATCTTCACCACTGTTAAGGCAAACTTGAAAAATACTACGCAACCACCTCGGAAACCAAGCAGGTATCGACCTGTGTCATGTTGCACACGCAGACCGAGCTGGACTACCTGAGTGAGATAGCTCTGAGATGGCTCTGCTGGGGACCCCGATCTTCTAGTGACCCCATTGGAGCACAGAGGCCGAAGATCACAGTCCCCCAGCCCCTCAACAAGGAGCTGCACTAGAGAGACAGCGACCTATACACTCTGCAGAAAGGACTGGGGGCACGGGGGCACGTGCGGTATTGAGTTGGGTGCGGCTTTCGGGCCTGCCAGAGCGGCCTTAGAAATGGAGGGGAGGGGAGGGAGGGAGGGAGGGAGGGAGGGAGGGATGTAATATCATGCAATCTTGCCATGTCTCCGTTCATGCTTGCTGGCTATTTTGGTATTCTTGGCACCACTACAGTACTGATTCTAGAAATGGTGTCCTCTGGAAGGTAGTGCAGTCTTCTATTGAAGCAAAGGCTCAAAGAACACCTCAGACGAAAACCCCTGCATCAAGAGGACCAGCTACCTCGACCCTGAACTGGACGATCATGGAAGTCATGCCTGCAAAGAGTGCAGCACGAATTCCGTACAGGCCGCATCGCTGACAGCCATCCAGAAACCCTTCTCTCATCTCGAAGCCCTAGCCCGAGTAAGACGACTGGAGGCGGACTTTTGCTGTCGTTAGCCAACGGCTAGGAAAATCAGGACGGTAAATATGCATTCTTGCATAGACATCCCTAACTATCAGTTCCGAAACTGGACTGCATGAGCTGTGCTCCGCCAGATCCTATTGTCCTGCTACGGGAGCTGGCGCTGTACGAGGCTTCAAAACGAGCTTTGGACGTCCTCCACCTGGGTCCTGCGCCGCGCGAGCTGGGAGCAAAGGGGGGGGGGGGGATGCGAAAAGAGAGCTATGCGGCCGACTGGGCCTTCTGGAGTGCTGGAGCTGCTTTCGCACTCGGGCCACTAGGCCTCGGGGACTTTCAGGGGCTCGTCTCTTTTTTTTTCGGTGCTGCAAGCAACTTGGCTCAGACTCTCGGGCACACACCCAGTAGGGACAGCACCCTGCGGGCGAGATCGCCAGACCAAGTTGACAAGAGGACGAATAAGTTGTCAAGTACATTGACAGAGACTCAGGGGAGCACCACGTCCGAGGATGTGCGGCTTCTGTTCGCCGTCTGGGAAACGACCTCCTCGCCCTTCGGCGATGGCGGCTTAGCCCCAGGCCTGACTACGTGGCTGCAGCGATCAACTAGGCACTAGGACGATGATGAATGCTTAGGCAAAAGCATTTGAGGAATCTCGGCCTGCAGGTTTGCGTTTGACAGCAAGTACAGATCACCTATTTTCGATATTTCAAGCTTCGCCCCACCGCCTGTCCCAAATTTTCCCAAGCATGCTGAGACTTACGGGACACAGTGCCTGATGAGCCATGACAGGCACTGCAGGAGCCGGGGACCTTGCAGTAGCTTCTTCGAGCACATGCCTTTGCTCCTACTGGTAGCAGCTAGCATAAGCCCCGTGGAGAAACCTGAGGGGCCCACGTTGCTGCCAAGGGTCCTGGCTTGGAAAAAGACGGCTGGCCCACCTGAACCACAAGGCATTTGCCCAAATGCGACTCGATGCCTGCGAATCCCTCCATCGGCTTTCTGAGTGGGCCCGCAGTCGCTTGGTGCAGGAGCGACGAGTCACCGACGGGGTCGCTACTTGGCAATCTCGACGGCTGCACTGTACATCCCGCCGGGGCAGCATGTCCCGAGTCTCATTTTACGCCCCTCTACTGGGAGGTGGGCTGATCTCTCTGCCCAATATCTCGGAGCACAGCTTTGCCCGTAGCTGCAGGGTGCGCTCACGTTCAAACTCCACCTCGCGCTTCAGGGCGCTGCAGCGTGCCTTGTATCCCTCCAGTGTCACTGGCTGAGAAGCAACCAGCACTGTTTCAACCGCTGCTTGCGCTGTGCCAGGCCTGGCTGATGTCCGGCCTGTTCCGGGACGCTCTTGTCCACTGCCAAGCGCCTGTTTTCTGCGCAACAGTTCGGCCTCCAAAGCCTCCAATGTTGTGCGCATCTGTCTGCTCTTCGCAGCTGCGTCATGCATCGCCTGGTTGGCTTTTTCTAATTCTTTCAGTCGGTCTCGCAGCGCTGCTGTTCCCAAGATCGGCTCTTCAGCTTCTTGTCGGAGACCGTGAATTTGCTTTTGGAGGTTCTCACACTCAACTTGTGTTGTCTGCAAACGGAGCTGTAAAGCTTTGGTGTACTCTTGAAACTTTTCTAGATCCTCCTGTGGGCTGTCCGAGATCGTCGGGGCCGGAACCGGCTCGACCACGTCCGGCGAACCGGATCGCGGGCGGGAGCTGCTGCGAGACCTCGCGGACCTAAGCCTCCTGGAGCTGGACCTAAGGCGGGCGCCTTGGGGGCCCTGGGGAGCCGGAGCTGGAGCCGGAGCTGGCGATGTATCCGTCTGTGAACGGCCTTCGATGGGAGCCGTTTTGGGCCGTAGACCGTATGAACTCCCTGGGCGCCTTTCCAGGCCCACCTCTTCCGCGCAAGCGAAGAACTCTGCGGCCAGCTGGCGGTCGACGTTGGTAAGCACATCACCATCCAACTCTTTCAGGCCCGGCAGGGCGCGCACGACTCCATGCTTGTGAGCAATATCTTGGAAACATGGATTCCCACCAAGGTCCAGCGAGGCCAACTGCGAAAAGGCTGTGAAATTCGCGATCAAGGCATCCAAGTCTTCAAGCAAGTTGCTGTACAAAGAGACTCGTCTCAAGCGAGGCAGAGCTTCGAGGCCCTTTACGGTGCACACCCTGTTATTCGCGGCCAAAAGAACCTGGAGCATGGAGCAAGAAGCCACCGGGCTGAGGTCACTCAATCGATTGTGGTTCACATTCAATTCCTCCAAGGACTGAAGCAGTGAAATCGGACCCAGCTCTTCCAGTGCATTGTGGGAAAGAGACACCACGCGCAACAAAGCCCGATGTGGGAAATGCAAGACCTGCAACTCTCGCAAGCCCTTGCGCCGAAGAATCAGCTGAGTGGGATCGTCGGACTTGTCAGGCTCTTCCATGGCACACGACTTCGCATTACATGCTGAAGGAAATTCGTGTGCCTATGCTGGTGCAAAGCTTGTACTCTTGCCGGTGCTTCAGAGAAACACATAGTCCAACTTAGGGGTCATGTTTTTGGGTGCACTGGGACATCTGGGGCTGCCATGAGTGCTTTCGGCTGCTTTCGGCTCAACCTGAGGATTGTGTTGCGGACCAGACACACCGGTGGTCATGCGGCGGCTCTAGAAGCAGTCTGCCATGATGCTATGATTCAAAGCTGTGCTGCTGAGCGCTATGCCAACGATGATCTTCGCACCGGAGATGACACCTGGGAAGCGGCCACCTCGGTGCATCTCGAATGAATGGAGCGGACCACCACTTGCAGACGTGACCAACTCGACATACGAAGCAACATCAAACAAGCATCGCATGTTCAGTGTTTCACCGAAAAGGTCCACCAGTCAAATTGAGGACGTGTGTTGCCAATGCTTAGCCAGACGCCGTGTCATGTCCAAAGAGCAGAACTAAGATCTGCAACAAGCACAATACGACATCTTGCGCGAAACAATCGTTCGGTGAGCCTCGAAGCACGATCAACGAAGGTTAGCGTGCATTCTAACATAGAAACAAAAAGGAGGACATTGTCATGATTGTTGGGTATGAATCAGATATGAATCCATGAGGAGTCCTAATCCGGGGCAATGCAGGGGCCCCTGCGCAGACCGTACCAGCAGGCGCCGGCACCGGCGGCTCGGAGCGAGGTTTCAGGACCAGCCTGATGCAGAAGACTGGGTCAGCAGTCCTAGATCCTAGAGCCCTAGGTCCCAGACCCTTCAAGGGTGCGCGGTTGGTTCCCAATTTGCGTCGTGGTACGGAAAGAAATACTGGCCTACATGGTAAATTATCCATGTTTCGGGCTAAAGACAAAGAATAGCATTTCATAGGGGTAAGGGTGTGTATAGGAAATTACATGCCGTAGACTCAGGCCGAGCCCCGACAACCTCAACGCAGTCCGCCGGCCGTCTTGCCAGAGACGTCGTCAATCACCCCACAGAAACTAGCCCCAAAAACCTGAATGAAAATCCCTACAAGCCACATACTTCGTTCTATGCGACATCGCAGCTACTACCTGGTGCAAGGGAGGCCTCGGCCGGCCACCAGCAGGATCCGGCTGGAGAGCGGGGCCCTTAGGAAAACAAGTGTGTGTCTATGCCTGTTTTCGCATAAAACGTAACCAAATAGCCTGCTACTGTTTGAGTCTTGCACTCTACGCTGTGCACTACACACTACACACTACACACTACACACTACACACTACACACTACACGCCGCACACCACTCAGTATATGCTATACACTATACACTATACACCATATACCAGAAAAGTGTGTACGACGTGTACGATTTTCTATATACTGTATACTGGATTCTACATGTTTCTATATACTATGCACCATAAGCTATATAGGACCACTATATAATATACTACACACTTCTTTCTCTAAATAGGTAGTACTCGGGCTAAACACTCGGC